CAGGCTTTGGGTGGGCTGACGGGCGGGCGGGCGGAGAGGCAGGCACGCATGCACGCACCGAGGCAAGCGGTCGGGCTGTCAGGCAGGCTTTGGGTGGGCTGACGGGCGGGCGGGCGGAGAGGCAGGCACGCATGCACGCACCGAGGCAAGCGGTCGGGCTGTCAGGCAGGCTTTGGGTGGGCTGACGGGCGGGCGGGCGGAGAGGCAGGCACGCATGCACGCACCGAGGCAAGCGGTCGGGCTGTCAGGCAGGCTTTGGGTGGGCTGACGGGCGGGCGGGCGGAGAGGCAGGCACGCATGCACGCACCGAGGCAAGCGGTCGGGCTGTCAGGCAGGCTTTGGGTGGGCGGACGGGCGGGCGGGCAGGCAGGGAGGCACGCATGGGGGGCGGACGGGTAGGCAGCAAGGTGTTGGGCGGGCGGAGAGGCAGGCACGCATGCACGCACCGAGGCAAGCGGTCGGGCTGTCAGGCAGGCTTTGGGTGGGCGGACGGGCGGGCGGGCAGGCAGGCACGCATGGGGGGTGGACAGGCAGGCAGCAAGGGGTCGGGCGGGTGGAGAGGCAGGCACACACGCACGCACTGGGGCAAGCGGTTGAGCTGGCAGGCAGGCACGCGCGCACCGGGTCGGGCGGTCGTGCACGCAGCAAGTGTCGGGGGGCGAACGGACGGACCGGCGGACAGGCAGGCACGCATGCACTGGGGCAAGCGGTCGTGCTGGCAGGCAGGCACACGTGCACCGGGGCGGGCGGTCGGTCAGGCAGCAAGGGGTCGGGGGGGTGCGTACAGGTGTATGGGCGGAAGGGCGAACAGGCAGGCACGCACGCACCTGCGCGGGCGGTGGTGAAGGCAGCAAGGCGTCAGTGGGGGGCCGACGGGCGGACAGGCAGGCACGCACGCATCGGGGCAAGTGGTTGGGCTGGCAGGCAGGCACGCGTGCACAGGGGCGGGCGGTCATGCAGGCAGCAAGGCGTTGTGTGGGCGGACAGGCGGGTGTGCACAGGCAGGCAGGCACGTACCGGGGAGGATGGGCAGGCAGCAAGTTGTCGGGCGGGCGAGCGGGAGGGCGGACGGGTGGATAGGTGGATGGGGGGGCGGGCGGATAGGAGGACAGGCAGACACGCATGCAAGCACCGGGGCAGGCGGTCGGGCTGCAAGCAGGCACGTGTGAACCGGGGAGGGCGGTCTGGCAGGCAGCAAGGCGTCGTACGGGTGTAGGGGCGGACAGGGGTACGGGCGGACAGGCAGGCACGCGCACACCAGGTCGGGTGATCGGGCAGGCAGGCAGCAAGGCGTCGGGGTGGGCTGACAGTGGGACGGGCGGACAGTCAGAATGGCGGACAGGCACGCACGCACGCACCGGGGCAAGCGGTCGGGCTGGTAGGCAGGCACGTGTGCACCGGGGCAGGCGGTCGAGCAGGCAGCAAGGTGTTGGGGGTGCGGAAGGGCAGACAGGCAGTCACGCACCGGAGCAAGCGGTCGGGCTGGCGGGCAGGCATGTGTACACTGGGGCGCGTGGTCGGGCAGGCAGCAAGGGATTGGCTGTGCGGACATGCAAACGGGCGGACAGTCCAGGGTATAAGAAAATGYAATGATCTGCAAGATGACATCAAAAATGCCAGATCAATGTGTATATTTAAGAGAATGATAAAGCTTAATTTCTGGATAAATTTTATATGTTTGAACTGTTGTTCAAGGAATTAAACCTATTTTATTATTAGCTATAGCTCTAAATAAAAATAAAAACAACAGCCACTTAATTTTCCTTTCTCTTATCTGGATTTGTCATATTTCAGGTTATAAGTTCTTTATTTTGAGTGCAATCATTTGTACTGAAACCATTTAATTTTCAATCAAAAACTTTGGGATCAGTGTCACGCCATCCATCTGCTGTTTAAATTTTAAAATCTTAGTTTTCATTGTTTACTTTTTTTTAAATGTTGCATATTTAATGATCCAAACTCTCCACACAGAAAAGAAGCAGAGGAAAGAAGCAGAGCAAAGCTCTTCGTGCAGGCAGAGATTGTTTCATTCAGCTCTTCATAAAGACAGAAAACATTAAAAGCTTCTTTCTAAGAGCTGGGGTGTAAAAGTGGAACTGCAGGTCGGTCTTGGGTTTCATTGGACTCCACGGCAGTCCTGTCTCTCCTCAGCATGTCGAGCTCATGCATGTTTCATTTGGTCGTCTTCAGAGCTGCTATCAAATGAGTCTGACTGGATGAAGGGGAGGAGCGGATGAAGGTGATGGTTGTTTCAGGGGGAAGCTTGCACCTGCTCTCCTCCTCTTCACCAGAATCAGATGAGATTCAGGGGATCACAATGAGTCGAGGCTGAAACCTGGATTCTTCCTTTCTTCTTTCTGATTTTACAAGTCCTGGAGGGATCTTTCGAAGATGAAAGTTCTGTTTCTGTGGTGTTTAGGACACTGAGAGACTATTTTTTTTCCTCTACAAAACTTGGAGAAGTCCTCTGTGGGACCCTTGGTACTGCTGAAAGGTGGAACCAATTCCCCACAAAGTGCCACAAATCCAGCGAGGATGACARTTTGCTCTTAGTGGATTTCTGGTTCCCCTTTTTAAAAAAAACAGAGGCTGATGAGTTGCTAAGAGTCTGTTTGGAGATAAAGAGGGAAAAGAGAAGAAAACAATGCCTTTTGATTTGGCAGGATTTAAAAACCAGGTGTTCAAACCTGGGAAGGAGGAAGTGAAGACCACCGTGGGGGACTCTTTAGGAAAACTGCAGAGGTGAGGGGGTTTAGTCAGAAAAAAGGGGGACTGATTGCGTGAATGCTGGGTGGAAGTAATAATTCTCTCTTCTTTGTCGGCAATTACATTTAAAGCATCATTATCAAAGATCTTGCTAAAATCTGGAGCCAAAAACACAGATGCTTCTCAAATAATGACAGTATTTTTCCTGTCAGGGAGATAAATATTTAATTCTTGTGCTTGAGATCCCGATGACGTAATCACAGATTTTATTTTAGGACYCAGATGCATATTTCATGTCTGATATATATTTTACAAAACCTGTTTCTGTGAATGGAAGGGAAACCTCAGATAAAAGAAAGCTCCTGCGTGAGTAAAGTGTGACTTGCTTTAATTCACAGTTAGAAACATAAGTAGAAATAAAATGACTTGCTTAATTTGCAAAATAAAAATAATGAAATTGAAATAAAAAGAAGAAAACACATTCATTGAAAATTTAAGTTATTTTTATAGATTTAAACCATGAAACAAACTTCATGTTTCTTTGTTTTTATATAAATATTGTAAAATCTTCAGTCAACTGTTTAATAAAATCAAGATTAAAACAAAAACTCAGCAAAACTGGGATTAAAATTTGCAGAAGCTTTAATTTGAACCAGTATTTCATGTTCAGAGCTGAAACAGCTTTTTAAATGAAGGTTAAAAATTATTATAAAATTTTCGATATTTAATTTGTCACAATATTACGTGACTCATTTTAAASAGCTTGCATTTAATTTGGTATTAACCACACTACAGGTGTGTATTTTGAATGTTTTTTAGAGGTAAGGCATTAAAGCATAATTTCAAATGAGTTTATCTTTACTAAACTAAAAGTCTTAAAATATAAAGCTGCTCTGGCCATTTGTAGATATATTTTTGTCAAGTTTTATCAGAGGAAGGTTGAACAGGTTGATTTTTGGTGACACCTGAAGGAAACCTGATGACAGCAGGTCACTGATCTTTAGTCTTGTTTCCTCGATTTGTTCATTGACCTCCTTCAATCCCATAAATAAAGGTGATCAAAGTGTCTGTGAATGGATCGGATGAATGCAGACACATTTCTTCAAGCTGAACTAATAATATTTGTCGTTTTAGAAAAATAGATGGCAGTAACGTTGATGATGAGGACAACATTGAGCTCACAGAAGACGGTCGTCCGGTGGCGTCAGCACCACGTTCTGCCCCTCTTCTGGACTGTAGCTGTGGTGGTCTGCCTAAGCGCTACATCATCGCCATCCTCAGCGGTCTGGGCTTCTGCATCTCTTTTGGCATTAGATGCAACCTGGGTGTGGCCATCGTGGAGATGGTGAACAACAACACCGTCTACATCAACGGGACTCCGGTGCTTCAGGTAGAATGGATGGACAACAGATGGAAACAGAGAAAATTTTAAAAACTTGCTTCTTAGAGATCAGTCCAGTCCTGGTACTTGAGAACTGCTTCGTAGCACGTTTTACTTGCTCCAACACAACTGATTCAGTCCKTGAATTACCTCTTCAAGTTCTGCAGAAGCCTGCTAGTAATCCATTAATATAAAACAGGTGTGTTGGAGCAGAGAAACCTCTAAAATCCAGGATTGGACACCCCTAATACAGGTGGATCAATAATGAATCACAGCTTTAGTTGATTAATTTTGAGCTTGGACAAAAAAGAAATATAAGTGGAAAATGTTTGTCAACAAATAATAATTTATGGGGATTTTATTTGTTTACAAATAAAAGTTTAAGGGTTTARGCCACTAGGACTTAACAGTCTGATCAAACTCTAGTCAGATTATCTGTGATCAAATATTTTCATGCATATAACAACAAATGCTTCTTGCAAGATGACAAATTAATGGCTTTGGTGGTGTAGTTTTACTGTATTTTTTWAATCCACTTTTCTCGCCCTTTTGCCAGAAAGCTGAGTTTAACTGGGACCCGGAAACGGTGGGGCTGATTCATGGATCCTTTTTCTGGGGCTACATAGTCACTCAAATCCCAGGCGGCTTCATCTCCAACAAGCTGTCTGCCAACAGGTGACAGGCACTCCTTTATTCAAATTCAGTTAACTTTGTTTTTATGTAATCTCCAACGTTTAGCATAAAAAAAAGATGCAAATTCACAGTGTAGCTCRTCTGTAATGGAGTATGCAGTTTATGCAGACACATGGAGTGTTTTTCTATCATCATGCAGTATTCATGTTTGTAAATCCCCACGTTCAGTCCGATGGCTGTGACCTGCTGGTGACCCTCTCGCTAGAATGAGGTCGGCTAGCAGTAAGATTTAGAGTTTTGCACATATTCTTTTTCACAAGTCAAGGATAAACGTGTTGAAAAAGAATACGCAGAAAAAGACAAATTAGGACTAAATATCTGGGGAGAGCACCTCCTCGYAGTCTTGTGGTTAAAGCTGTTCGATGTGAGCGGTACTGATGGAGTAGATAGCAGTCCTGTAATAAAAGCTTCACAGGAAGAAAAAAAAAAGAAGGGACACGCCACTGACAGTGTTAATAATGAAAGATCCTGCCTCTGATTTCGTTCGAAACAGCAGCCACTGGAATATTACAAGTGTCACTTACACGTCCTTTTGGAAAACGGGAGGGAAGGGGGGCTTTGAGGTGTAGGAGGAAAAGGGAAGCGTGGTGGTGATGAAGCAGAAACTTATGAACTGAACGGGATGTCTTTATCTCAGACAGTGAATGACAGAGGTGTGAGATCTGGCTGACATTCAGGCTGACGGAGAGACATTAACTGTCCTAGATTTTCAGATGTATTGCCTGCGAATTATATATATCTATTACTGCAGCTTTCAGATGCTGGAAAGCAGCTGAAAGCAGCAATAAATTACAACATAACATAACAGAGCATTCAATATTCTTGCAATGGAAACTTTTCTCTCCAAGAAGTGTGATACAAAAACACTGGAAATATTAGGTTGCATTTTCAGATGCAAGGATAAAAAAGTAGTTTATTGACTAACTCCTTCAGATGATCAGCACTCTTGTAAAATTATTACAAAACTATGAACAGAAAGCTAATTAGCAGGGCTCTCAAATTTTGATCTGAGCTTGGAGTGAGTTTTTTTCACTAGTTGCTTTTAAAAAAAACTCTGCTGAAGGGGTCTGAAAGCTTGCTAAGTTACTGCAGCCGTGCCCTCTCGAGCCCAGGCCCGTAGCCACGATTTTGTGAGGGGTTCTTCTTTGGGAAATGAGGACCTTAGTCAGGGGTATAGGGMCCACTTAGATCCTAATTTGGGTCCAGGGTCAACCCCCTGGTGGAGGGAATAGCTTCTGCATTTTAAGGGTTTTAGAAAGTTAAGTTATCAATGCACTCCGAAGTTATGTGGCAGCACGATGTCTTAGTGGTTAGCATTGTTGCCTCACATCAAGAAGGTCCTGAGTTCAGACCTGGGGTCTTTCTGTGCGTTTTCCCTTCTCTCCCACAGACCAAAAACATTGCCCTTAGGCCCAGACCTCTCTTACAAAAGAGATCTGTGCTCTGGATTTGCCTGGTTAAATAAAGGTCAATAAATMAATAAATGTGTAGTTTAGTATCAAAATGTTAGAAATTAATCAAAAAGAAAAAAAAGTAGGTCCTTTGGATGGGTTCTTCTTTAGTGAAACGTTTCGTCTCTCCTCCAAGAGACTTCTGCAGTCTGTCTCATCAGACTGAAGAAGTCTCTTGGAGGAGAGACGAAATGTTTCACTAAAGAAGAACTCATCCAGAGGTCCTACTTATTGTTTTCTTTTTGGTTTTTTTCCTACCTGGATTACTGAGATGCATCAGGATGTTAGAAATTAATCTGACTCCTTAGAAATCATTACTGCAGTACAATCCTACMGCTTCACGTTTTTAACTTAGAATTCTTGTTTTTTCTGTTCAACGAATTATAGTTTTATAATAATAGTTTCAAACTGGCATCTATTAAAAATAACATGATATGAACTGCAGAACCTTCAGCAATGTGGTGCCTTTAAAAATACATTATTTCACAATCATGTAAGCTGGTAYAATGAAAACATGTTTGGTTTAAAACGTGGTAGTCGCTGTGAGTCATTCCCTCCGCAAAGCCCAACAACTAACAGATCATGTGAAGTCTTTGTTATAAATTTTGATATGTAGCCCGTGTGGGAAATATTGACCTRGTTTCTCTTCAGTGTGTGTATATGTCTGTTTTAGCATGAAAAATACAGTGTGATGTGTGCCCTTCATGAAATGCGTGTCTCACAGTCAGCGTGAGAGAATTGTGAGCCCTGCTAATTAGCTTAGCTGAAATAATTCAAAAAGGCGGGAAACAGCTATCTCACCCTGACCAAACATGAGTTGCCTACCATCACTTTTAGCTTGTTAAAATTGATTAATAAAGTTTTCTTTCCTGGTGCMAAATGGATTTTTCATCAGCACTAACATTTTTTTTTTACCTTTGCCTAATGTTAGCTAAGCATGGGGTTAGTCAAATAATTAAATAATCTTTTTTTCACTGAAGCGTTTTACAGGGAATTCTGTTGTGCACAAAAAAAATACATTTTTAAATTTCTTTTTCCCACAGGGTGTTTGGGGCGGCCATTTTCTTGACGTCAGTGCTGAATATGTTCATCCCATCAGCGGCGAGGGTGCACTACGGTTGCGTCATGTTTGTGCGAATTCTACAGGGGTTAGTGGAGGTGAGAGATAAAACTTGGTGAGAAAACAAGACATCAAGTGCTTGGTTTTTGAMAGAAAAATTGTGCTTTACCTCTAAAAGAATACAAAAAGAAAAGAAGGCAACTCATTCTGCAAAGCAACATGTGAACAAACAAATACGCTGTGGTGAAGCAACACATTGTTACTCKCTGTTGGGTTGTTGATGCATTTTAGTGCTTTATTGCGTTATTGATGGGAGGTACAAGATCATTTAAACATCAAACATGTGTTTTAACCCTCTCACTGCTTTTGGGTCTAAATGAAATGGAAGGTGATTGACAAATTTAGACCAGGTGTGTGGAGAGTGTTATTACATGACAAGAGAAATCAATAAACCAAAAATAGTCAAATACTGAAGATAAAACCTGTGAACTGTGACAAAAAATAAAGAATGATAMAGAATTTTTAAAGGAGCTATAAGAGCAGATTTTAATGTCAATCTGTTATGTTAAAAAAAAACTCCAGTCAATCTTTGACCTTTGTCCTCTCCGTCTTGTCCCCGACAGGGGGTCACCTACCCAGCATGCCATGGGATGTGGTCCAAATGGGCACCGCCTCTCGAGCGAAGTCGACTGGCCACCACGTCGTTCTGCGGTGAGCTGCTTTCTCTCGTTCATCAAAAACTGTGCGCTACTGTTGTCTAGACACCAACATGTTTTGCACAGCCTCAAAAGTCAATAAATGGACACGGCAGAGAGGAAAAGCTTGTTATGCTTTGCAGGTCTCGACCTGCTGCCTCTCTGTTCAAATGAAAATAACCGTGTTGCACTCTGAGTTGGTGCCACGAACACACCTGCATCAAAACCCTCTTCACACAGTCTGTTAATGAACTCAGCTCACCTCTGAAGGAGCTTCTCCTATTCACCTAAATGAAGCAACGCATTGCACACAGCCCTAAAACACTCTCACGCTCACCCCTCTATAGAAAACAGACAGGAGAAAACACATTAAACACCTTCTCAATGCCTAATTACTCATTTTGATGTCATTTGTTCAATGACACTAATGGACTTCTTTGATGTGTTTTCCCTTGCAAAGACATACAGTATTTTAATGCCACTGTGTTTGTAGATGGAAGAATATAGCTGCCTGCGTTTTCATACTTCCGAACAGAAATAAGTAAAGGAAGTATTTTGTGTTGTTCTGTTTCCAGGCTCCTACGCAGGAGCCGTGATTGCCATGCCGCTGGCTGGAGTGATGGTTCAGTATGTTGGCTGGCCATCAGTCTTCTATATTTATGGTAAGACTGGTTACAAAAACACATTGATACAAAACAAGTGAAAAAAGACCCAAATATAAAAGCATTACATGAGCCACCCATTCATACATGCGGTTGTTACAAAAAAACTACAGTTTAATGTTCTATAAATTAGTTTTCAAACCTTTTGACTGACGTTGCTCACTGGCTATTGTACTTTGTACCCTAAGGTTTATTTGAATGGCTTTAGAGTTTGATTAAAATTATCTAAAATTTGTATCTTGGCAAACGTGTTTTAATAAAAAGCCTCTCTGATTTTGTTGAGATATGATCTTATGATTTATTGATGTAAATTAGCATTTTCCTGTCTTGTTCCTGTCTGTGAGTCACACTGGCCCCTTTTTTAATATTCTGCTGATCTAGAAAAGATCTGTGCTGGATTTAATTAATTCGCCCTGCACTCAAGTTATGTTTTTTTAATGTTTCAAAAGATGTTTGCTGCAAAGATGCCCACCTCTCTGAGTGCACATGCAAATTATTTCTGCTTTGGTTGTCGTCGTCTCGTGAAAAGGAGTTTTTGGGATCATATGGTATATCCTCTGGCTCCTGCTCGCCTACGGAAGTCCCGCAGCACATCCTACGATCACAGACGAGGAGAGGTCGTACATCGAGTCGGCCATCGGTGAAACGGTCCATCAGTTGAGTGTTACTGAGGTGGGCATCTTCAACAKGCTGAGGACTCAGTTTTATAGCCTTTTGTAAAAATCTGAGACAATTTTTTTGTCCTTCAATGACAGAAATTTAAGACCCCATGGCGTCGATTCTTCACCTCCATGCCAGTTTACGCCATCATTGTGGCGAACTTCTGCCGCAGCTGGACCTTCTACCTGCTTCTCATTAGCCAGCCTGCGTATTTCGAGGAAGTGTTCGGCTTCCCCATCAGCAAGGTTCGCCTCACACTTGAAGCTATTCTAGAGAAAGGATTAAAAACAGACTCTGAAATTATGTTTACTAACAAAAAACCTTTAGAAACACGAGTAAAAACAGACTTGACTGAATATTTACATTTGTAAAAGAGAGAAATACGGTTTGGTTTTCTGCAAACATTCAGTTTCACTGCTGAGTGCTGAAATTTGCTGAAGAAGCTAAAAGAAGCCTAAAAGAAGCAGAATACGAACTAGCTAAAAGCTAAAAGAAGCAAATGCTACAGGCACAATCCAAAAGGAGAAAAATGTTACCTAAAAGCTAAATGTTGCCAAAGTCAAGGCTACAGATGCTCAATGCTAAAACAAAATACGGAGTAAAGTTAAAACTAGTAAAATGCCATACTAGCTAAAAGAAGCAAAAGCCTTAATAAAACTCAAAGTATCAAATTGCTAGCTAGAAGCTAAGCACATCAAAAGAAAGTATCAAAAAGCTACAATAAGCAAAAGACTGACTCAAACCTAAAACTAGCAAAAGGCTAGCAGAAAGAAACAGAATAGTAGCTAAAGATTACAAGTAGCAAAAGGCTAATTGCAAGCCAAATGTAGRAGAACAATATAAACACAAGACAGAATAACTATTTAGCTTCTTTACATTCCAAAGTTTCAGTTTTGTTTTATAATTTTTCATCATTTTTTGTGGGATGTAGGTCTGGACTGCAGATCGTTGCATTAGTTCTTCAGTTTCAGTGCAGAGACTTGAGGACATGAGTTTGTGTTAAAGTGTCCCCCTGAACTGTCTCCAGGTGGGGCTCCTCTCTGCCGTCCCCCACATGGTGATGACGATCGTTGTCCCCATCGGAGGGCAGCTGGCAGACTTTTTACGCAGCAAAAAAATCATGTCCACGACAAACGTGAGGAAGCTGATGAACTGTGGAGGTACAATGGGTTGACAACGCCTGAAGCCTAAACCGTGACGGACTGCTTTAGTTTAGATTTAGTTTCTAGTTTAGAAAGTTATTTGTATGTTTCTTTTCAATCCTCTGTTTCATAACACTCTCATAAAGAAGCTATTTGCTTCATTTTTCAGGGTTTGGRATGGAGGCGTCGCTGCTGCTGGTAGTTGGATTTTCTCACACTCGAGGAGTCGCCATTTCTTTCCTCGTTCTCGCTGTGGGCTTTAGTGGATTTGCCATTTCAGGTGATTTAAACTCAGAGTAAAAATGATCAAAAGAAGATAATCAAAAAAACAAACAAAAAAAAAAACGCCTGACAATTTGTTCACAAAAACAGAAAAGTTCGTATTGTGGTGTCATCGTGTTGGTTTTCCAATTTGTTTGTGTTTGTTGTCAGGTTTTAACGTGAATCATTTGGACATTGCTCCTCGCTATGCCAGCATCCTGATGGGCATTTCTAACGGAGTTGGAACRCTGTCCGGAATGGTGTGCCCTCTGATTGTGGGAGCTTTGACTAAACACAAGGTAGCTATTAATTTAAACATGTATCGATGTAAAATCTTTATTTTTACAACTTTGGACAATGTTTAAAGCTGAAATTAGCTGCAAAATCTTACATTGCTTCTAAAAGATTCAAAGAAGATTCTGACGCTCCGATCTTCTCCCCGCAGACTCGTCTGGAGTGGCAGAACGTCTTTGTGATTGCCTCCATGGTGCATTACTCAGGGGTCATCTTCTACGCCATCTTTGCCTCGGGCGAGCAGCAGGACTGGGCCAACCCGGAGAGCCTGAGCGAGGACAAGCGTGGCATCGTTGACGAGGACGAGCTGGCCGAAGAGTCGGAGCTGACCAATGAGAACGCACTGGCTCCCAAAAAGAGTTATGGAACGACGGGCGGCTCGTACGGTCAGAAGCACGGCTGGAAGAAGACAAGTGGAGCAAGCGGGGAGGAGGAGCAGCACTATGGGAATGGGGACTACCAGGACGGGTACCAGTGAGACGCTGGGTCTAGGACTTCCAAAATCTGAAGGTCTGCTGTCCCGCTGAAGAAGAGTCTTGAAGAAAGAAGGAGCTGCAGCATCATATGTACCTCAAAATGACTTCCTATTTTTTTATTAACACACTTCAGTGCTGTACTAAAAATAATTCAAATTAAATGCTTTTATTAGAGAAACCACTGAATTAAATGAACAATTAGGAAAATAAAATGCAAAGGCTAACAAACAGATCAAAACTTTTCTCTAATGAAACGTTTCGTCTCTCCTCCAAGAGACTTCTTCAGTCTGAGAGTTTCAGGCAAAATTCAGGCTTTTGAGTCCTGCCTCCAGGTGACTGATACTCACATCACATGCTATCGTTCACACCTAATTAATACCCATTGTTAACAGGGGGTGGAGTGATACTGCCAATGGCAGCGCTGTAGGAGGGGGACAACTGAAAACGGAGGCCTCCACCTCTGTTTAATGATGGACGGTCTTTCTTCACAAAAATGGCTTCTTTTACTCCTCTCTCAAACCAACGTTCCTCTCTAAAACTTTTCTTGTTATCGACAAATATGTGTGTTTAGTGGGTGAAAACCATTGGACCAACCAACCAGTACCATGTTAAAGCAACATGAGAAACACATATCAAACCTGTGCTGATCCTCGTTTCCTTTGATTCATGTGAACCATTTATAAAACGCTTGTGTCAGCTATGCAACATGAAAAAACATGTCCAACTGGAATGTAGTGATGGGACTTCAAGAAATAGTTCAGATCTTCTGAAGTGAAATTCTGTGGAAAGGTTATGAAAAAAGAATATCTTACCTGCTGTAGATAACTCTTTGAATTACCTCGGTTTAAAGAAACTGAGGTAATGATTAGTTTGAAAGAAACCAAAATGGATTCTGTCATTTCTAATTAACTTAAATTCARAGAAGTTAATGCAGATGTTATTTTATGAAGCTTTACACCACTGTCAGTTCTGCATTGTGCAGTTTTTCCAGCAGAAATAATATATTCTTGCTGCAGATGTACCATAAAATCCCACAGCTAGCTGCTGCTGCTAATTGCACCATAAGCGACCATAAATGTTATAGAATAAAACACGTAATATGAAACTGACAGCAACCTTTATAAAACCTTTGAGACAAAAGTAGTTTTAAGATGACTAACCGTTAGCTTGTCTGCATTATGCTATTTTTCCAACTAAACTTCAAATTTCCAACAATGGCTCCCCAAAGTTGGATGTACTTTGCTGTACTTGTTCCAAGAAAGTGCAGTTTGTGCACCTATAAATAGATGGAAGTAGTCAAATTGTCATTATATGCCCTTGTTTAATTAACCAACTGTGTTTGTCAACCAAAAATAGTCAAGGTTACGGGTCTCTGCTGCTGCTATTTTGCAGGTCAGATGCTGAAATGGTTGAGAACCATTGTTCCACAGAACCGCACTTCCACAGATGTGAACTGTACCTTTCAAGCAGTCCACAATGTCATCGCAGAGAGTTTTTGTCTCTTTATGTTCCTGTTGACAGCACAACGTCGCTGCTTTTGCTTGCCCTTCTTGTCCTGGTTGCTCTGCTTGGGATGCATTTTTTTGTATCAGCTTTAAGATTAAAAGGAGCTCTGAGCTAAGTCATTAATGGGACAAAACAGATGGGTAGCTCTGTGTTTACACACGTATTGAAACTCTGTTCAGTCTACAGGGTTTTGGCGCCAGAGAGCCTTTTAGTTTCTTAAAATAATCTGTAGAAAGTTTCCACATTCTTTTGAAAAGAATTGGYTAAAAACACTCAGTGGTATTGCTGCTGTAGAAGAGAGAAACAGATTTGTAAACTACTACTTTACTCTTTGACAACTTTGATTTGCACATGAACACGTAATAAACTTCATGACCATAAAGAACTGAGAGACTGAAAACCTTTAAGGCTGTGGATTATTGAGTAACCTGTCAAAACAATGCATATTGGGATGTCCAAATGGGAGGAGACCCAGGACAAGCTGGAGGGACTGTGTCTCTCAGCTGGTTTGGGAATGTATTGGAATCCTTCCAGTAGAGCAGTGGAGACTGTGGAACGAGACGTCTGGACCTCCCTGTTCAAGCTTCTGCTCAACTCCAGAACAAGCAGCAGATGATGGATGGACGGATGGATGGAAGGATGTGTAGATTAGATAGATAGATAGATAGATAGATAGATAGATAGATAGATAGATAGATAGATAGATAGATAGATAGATGCACTGGTGTTTGCTTCACCTGGATCAGCTGTTTGATTTAAGGAGCCAACTGTTGAACAGCTGGAGTCACAAAATTGTGAGAAAGTGGTCAAACATCCAGCTGCAGTCTCTCTGAATTCTGTTTTCAAGACCTGACCGGCGTGTTTTGAGAGACCAGCTTTAAAACATCTATTGACTCGTGTGCATGATTTGCAGAACTGTAGGACATTATTTTTTCCATGCACATTATTCTGGTTCCCACTATACCCACTTTGGCAGAGGCCACACGGTTAGCATTTATTTWACTAGAAATATGCAAATTTAAACCAATATTTCAACAATTATTSTTGCTAATTTCTGGCATGGACATGTTTTCTGTCAGAGAGCTCATGTGCAAATAGCTGCTGGCTCTTATTTCAGATTGGAGACACCTAAAATAAACTTTAGACAAGACTCTGAAGCTACTTTGAGAGAAAATTTGAAAAAATACTGGAAAACTTGCGTGAAAGTTTGAGATGGACAGATTTATCCTCTGCATTCAGCAGAATATCTGTCAAAGTTTCGCACCTTACAGAAAAATGGATCAAATTGTTTCCATTGTTTTTCCTCCTCTAAAAGCCTCAGTCTATTCTTATTAAGAACTAGTTCTTGTCGCAGCTTTACATCATAATTAAAACATTTCAAAGATGGGTCTGTTTTCAGTCATACTGTAAACATCCTTTGCGTTATCACTTTTTGTTGCCTGCGTCTTGTTTTAATTACTGGACAGGATATTCCTCGTCAGCTCRTCGTGTTTTAAGATCATCTGCCTGGAAAGCTCTTAATTCAGGTTTGTGTAATTTGGCCATGAAAAGGCTAACGATTTTCACATTGTGATAAGAGATTTCAAGGTTATGGACTTTGTTGCTGCTTGTCTTTGTAGTACTCTGACGTTGTGTTGAGCATGCYATGTGTTTTCTGTCGCTTCGCATCTTTCAGAGCAACGTGATCCTTTTGAAGTTGGTAGAGATTAACGAGGGAGACATCAGCTACTCAAACATAAAGGAAATGGCTCATTTTTACCAGGGTCACTTCATTTCTTCCATGCTCACATAAACCAGATTAGTCCACAAACAACAAGCAATGGCAAAGGTTCTGTTTATTTCAGGGTCTGTTGACTCAGAAGGGCCTCTTTGGATGAAGCAACAACCCGTCAATGATTAAACTATTCCTCCCTTTTTAAAATAAATTAAGATTACCGGTAATGAAGGAAAAAATAATCAGCCGTTCTCATATTATTTTGCTGTTAGCGCTCAGATTAGGTGTTGAGGATGGCTCTCAGCTACTACCACAAAAAACTTGAGCTCAGTTTTTGTAAACCTGACCGAGTTCTAGCCCTTTTCATGTTTGCTAAATCCACTTAGCTGTGGCGGCCATCTTGAATTAGGTTGACTCTAAAAAGGAATGAGTTGTACATGTGTGTCCAGTCATCACTTTCGAAGAATTTCATTAGTCCATTTGTTCAGGACAAATGATTACACATAAGCAAAAACGTTATCACCCCTCATCTTTGGTGGCAGGCCTGAACACTGACATGATGGGTGAGTATAACTCAAATTTCGTAAAATAAAACAGGTTAAATCAAGTATATAAATCTGCTCAGATTTTTCCCATTCCCACCAGCTGTCTGTCACATTAATGACTGAACATATTTCCTGTGTGTGTGTGTGTGTGTGTGTGTGTGTGTGTGTGTGTGTGTGTGTGTGTGTGTGTGTGTGTGTGTGTGTGTGTGTCCATGAGCCGGCCTGTTGTCGTGTTCAGATAAAGAGGAGGGGTTGAAGGGGTGGGATGACACAGACAGGAATGGACAGTTTAATTAATAACCAGCATCCATTCCTGTGCTGCTCACACATCCTCTCTTCAGAGTCCAAACCCTTTAATGTTCATCTGCCAATATCCATGGAGCTGTAGATCACAACGTGGATATCGGACAAAAACCAAACCAAGGAAGTTTTTGGAAAGCGTCAGCCAATCAAGGAGAAGGTAAGAACTGCGAGGGAGAGTTTCACAGATGACTTCTGGTTTGGGTTTTTCGTGCTGGCTGGAGGTTATGCGTGGGCCGCTCTTTGATCTCAAGGGAAATTACACGGAGGTAATTAAAATAAGTCGATAAAACTAATGTCCAGAGTGATCGTTCTGTGGCCTTGACAGCAGAATCTATTAAAGAGCTCTTCATCTACACTAACATGAGCTGAAAATGCTAGCTAACGCTGGAGGCTAACAAACGTTCTCACCTTTTTAAAGAAGAGTGACATCATTGATCTCATTATATGTCCTGTCAGCTGCATCCTGATGACAGATTGAAGGTGAAGAAGAAGGAATAACTGTCCTAATCCTTTACATGATTTGCTCTTAGGCCTTGTAGTGACCCGACCTTCATCCTCCTCCTTCCTGCCACAGAACACCTCATCCTTAAGTGGGAGAGAAGTCCTGTCAGGTGTGTTTATATTTAATTACACTGTAAAATATTCACGTTTTTATTCAGCAGTCAAAATCTCATTGTTTTTTATTTTTTAAGARAGAGATAAATCCATTACAGCTTCGTCCGCCCTGACTTTTCTGAGTCTGTGACAGAAACCTCTCCTGAATGAATGAGTGGGTGGGCTCCGAGTTAAACGTGGTGGGACCGCTGCAAATCCCACCCAACGATGAGTTCTCCATCTCAGAGAGCGCCCACTTCTTTGGTAAGTCTCATCATTAAAAACCAAATTAGAGGCATTTGCTCTAAACAGGTCAGCCCATTGTGTATTTTTTCATGGATATYTTTGGATTATTTTTTTTGCCGACCTTGTGTGTTTAAAGAATGTTGTCAATTCAGAACCTGTGCTTTATTCTGTGAAGGTTTTATGAAACTACAAACAGAAAACAGAGCTAGGATCAATGGATTTCGCMTTCAACATTCTTTCTTGGGATAACACTCTTTTCCAAGTTTGTTTAAACCAGCGGTGCTCAATCCTGGCCCTTGAGGGTCACTGTCCTGCATGTTTTAGGTGTTTCCCAGGTCTTCTGCAGGTCTTCATTGTCTGCAGAAGCCTGTTAATCACTCATTCATTCAAATCTGATGCATCAAAGCAGAGAAACATCTCAAAGCCATCAGATGACAAGGTGCTCTGCTGGGAATATATAAAGAGCATGTGTGGCCTTATAACAACAGTGATAGTGTCACGACTTAGAGGCAGGATGAACCCAAATGCAGGCAGGCAGACTTGAAAATTTAACAAAAACTTTTAATAAATTAAAGGCCAGCATGGTGGCAAAAAAAAAAAAGAAAACTTACAAGAAATCAGGAACAGGAACAGGGAAGCCTGGGCAGAACATGAACCAAACTGAGACTAACAAACAATGACTCGACAGGGAAGTGAAGACAACACACAGAATTTAAAGGTGAGACTAATGAGCACCAACAGGGAACACCTGGGGGAGAAACATGAGGATCAGGTGTGAGTGGGCGGGGCTGGAGCAAGGGCAGACAGGAAGAAAACAGGAACATGACAGAAACTAAAAATAAAACACTAACACAGACAAGAATCATAACAGATAGGGGTCACCTCGAGTGAAATAATCAAGGAAACTGTTTTGGACCTCAGACCTCTGATGGGACAAAAACTCTGTTCCACTTAGAACTGAATTTAGACCACCACAGGTCGCCTTAACTTGTCAAATGGACATTCTCTTTTGCTTAATCAGATAATAAACAGAATAATCTTCTTTTAATTTGATTTATTGTTCTCTTGACTGAAAGTTATTATCCATTTTGATAATCAGAGAATGTTTATCAAAGTTACAGGAGGAAGGAGGATAGATCTCTTTTCTCCCTCAGTATGATTTCAGCTATTTATGGACTTTATGTGCAAAAATCTCATTTAGCTAAACTAATCCTTATGGTTTACAGTTGATGAAACATCAATGTTTTATTTGTCTGAGTCATATTGCAAATGTTTGAGTTTTAAGTAATTCATTCTCTCAGTTATTTACGAGTTCTCATCAGAAAACAACTAAACAGCTTAACTGTTTTAACAGGTTAATAACTGAACATTAAATATGTTTAGTTATTATCTGATGAGAACTCTTTAAAACATATGATTCAGACAAATAAAACATTGATGCTTCATCAACTTTAAACCATAAGGATTAGTTTAGCTAAATAAGATTTGTTGCACATAAAATCCATTCATAGAGCTGAAATCATACTGAGGGCGAAAAGAGATCTGTCCTCTTTTCTCCTGTAACTTTGATAAACATTATCTGATCATCAAAATGCATAATAATTTCAGTTAAGAGAACAATAAATCAAATTAAAAGAAGATTATTCTGTTTATTGTCTGATCAAGCAAAAGAGAATGTCCATTTGACAAGTTWAGGCGACCTGTGGWGGCCTAAATTCAGTTCCAAGTGGAACAGAGTTTTTGTCCCAACAGAGGTCTGAGGTCCAAGACWGTTTCCTTGATTATTTCACTCAAGGTGACCCCTACAATACTTTGAACGAGATATGAACAACAATTCAGGTAAATGTTTTTAATCACCTGCTTGGTTCAAACCTCCTGCCACACAGTAGCAGTCACTTTGTGCCCAAACACATGAATCAGCCAGCTACTTGTAATGGTGGGAAGAAATGTAACCAGTTAATGAGTAGCTTCGACAACCTTTGCTCTTCCTGAGTTTTCTTAAGGAAGGAACAGGTAGCTGCTGTTCTCGTTTCTTTACCAGAAGGGGTTTCTGTTCCCATCAAAAGACATGAATAGAAATGTATTATTTTTAGTTGAATCACGACCAAAGAACTACCAAACCTGGCACAGCTGAGGTGATCTGTGAGTAAAGTGAGAATCGTTCGTGAGTCTGGTTGTGTGGAGATGGCCATGGTCCAGACCCAGTCTTCAAGAGGTTAGTGTTCGGTTTTACTCAACTGTTTGGTTCGAGGAAAGATTTGGTAGCCTGTGAGGATTTTAAACTACTTTAAAGTGTTAGACCTTGAATATCATCCCACTTGTTCTGGATGAGACGAAAGCTGTTCTCAAGTTCACATGATTGACAGCCTGGTGACATTTTTGCGTTCATTATGGATTTAAATGTGTCGGCTTTTCATGTGTATAGAGTTACTGTATGTGGTTCTGAAAGGTACAGTGCGCTCTGTACAAACACGTTGTTAATCATTTATGGGTTTACAGCAGGTTGTATGTTGTGTAGGGTGCTGTCAAAAGTTCAAGCTGTTCCTAATGTAACAAGACCGCTCCAATCACTGCAGAAACTTTATTGATAGAAGGTGTTTTATGTTGGTTAGGATCTGTGGTTTCTGTTGTTTTTAGTCTGTTTGGGATTTGAGACAGATCGTCTTGGTTTGGGATTTTTGCTTGTGTTGATCCTCAACTTGTCTCTTGGTTATATAAGTTTTGCTTTCTTCACCTATGGTCCAATTTTCTTAGTTTCATTCCTGCATCTCTTTAAACTTTATCTCTGTCTGTCTTTATTTAATGCCTGGTGTTCTTTTATCCTCAGATCTTTATCAATTGTTATCTTATACTCACCTTCAGCCCAGATGAATTAACTTTTTTGTATTTGGTTTTATTGGATTTGTTTTGGTTTATTCAATAAAGCAAGCTTGATTTATTTTTACCACTCCTCACCTGTTGTGGCACAAATAATGTTTAAGGGGTCTGTTTTAGCTTTTTTTTATTTTAATTTTAATTTTTTTGCTTGTTTTTAATGTTTYAGTGTTTTTAGTGTTGATTTATTTTATTGTTTTTGGCCCCTCATGTACAGCACTTTGTGTCAGCTGCCACTGTTTTAAAGTGCTTTATAAATAAAGTTGATTTGATTAAAGTAATTAAAGTAATGGGTTATGCTTAATTTTCTTCCAGTAATTCAGTATGCATCCATAAATTACATGAAATATTTACACTCCAGTCAGGAATGATAAACACACAAACACGATATCCCAGTTCTTTTTAACATTATGGAGTGTTTTATTGCCTGTTCTCATTGTTTTGTTTTATAGRTTCAACTTTAATGTTTTCGTTCATTGTCAAAGTTTCAAATCACAAATGGAAGCTTTTTTCTGCTCATGATTTGGAACTTGTTGTCATAAGTTGTACGTTTGGACAGGAGCACTGAATTCCAGCGTTTCCCCTTGTTTTGGTGAATTTTTACAATGAACCAAAACGTGTCATAAAGTGTTCTTATGCTTTGTCCCTCTCTCTACTTTTTCAGACATCCTGGCAGATCAGGGCAGTCCTCTGCTGCCGGACCCTGACATCTTGCCGTTCTCCAGTTATCCCAGCATGCAGTACCCACCCATGGAGCCGAGCATCCCCCCCACTCCCTACTACTCGTCTCAGAACTATTACCCCCCGTACACCGGAGACGAATGGTACTCACACACAGGGATATACGAACTGAGGAAGGGGCCGATGGAGGGCAGCTATCTGGCCGACATGGAGGAGGTGTCCCCCATTGTGCCGACCGTGTGCAAGAGGACCCGACACGTGATGCAGGCCGGAAAGGTCAAAGGGGAGGAGCTGTGCGTCGTGTGTGGAGACAAGGCATCTGGTTATCACTACAACGCTCTCACCTGTGAGGGGTGTAAGGGTGAGTGGACGTTTAAAAGGTTATCAAACACGTCATGCATGAAGAAGATGACGTCACACTTTGTGTGCTCCAAGCTAAACACATTTTAGCTTAAAGTCTGTTCCCAGTTCTTTGTTGTAACGATGCTTCTTGGTAATAAACTGGGCACCTGATTGGCAGCACCTGGGATATCAGAAGCTCAATAGCAACGGCACAATAAGCTGTTTGGCAATGGGGGAGAAAAACTGGCAAATTTCTCATGTGCACAACCCACATACTCAGCTCTACTGCTCATCCCACAAACAAATATTCTACAAGACACACATTTCCTTACCTTTTCTGCTAAGTTTTATATGCGTGCATCAGTTGTGCAACARCCGAAAGCCAAAGTTCAAGCTTATTATTAATGCCTCACTCGATTCCTTATCAGAGTGTTGCTTGATATTTTGTATTTGCACATACAAATACTATTTTAATAAATGTTTGATAACATGCTGAGAACAGGGAGTGTATCCAAGAAGCCACACGATCACTTCTGACCAACTGATGCCGATATAAGATATAAAGAAATAAAACAACAGAATGAAAATATTTTAGTGGGAGTGAGCTCCTTTTCCTGGGGATTTTACAAATAATTAACCGAGGGAAAACAAAGTTGTGACCTTGAGCAGGCCCTCCCTTTAGGATTATTATTTTTTTTATTGCTCTGTGGATTTAGTGGGATTCCTGTCCAACGGCAGGGTGAACGGAGATGAGTGTAATTCCACTCTGCCATCTTGGACAATGCCAGGAGCGTGGCAGCTGACCCTGTGCCGCCGTTTGACTTGAGAATAGACTCAGGAGTACACGGTGACACTGCCAGATTGGATTCCCTCTCAGCTTTCTGCTTCACAATGCAGGAGCAACCCGAGCTCCGTCCCTCCTGTGCGTTTCTTTGTGTTTAATGATGTCAGAATGTCTGCTCGCAGTTCCAGCGTTATTATAGGTTCACATATGTGTGTGTTCTTATGTGTGTGTCTATATTTGTTGGCTCTAAGAACATAATGTAGATCAAACTGCCTCTGTGAGAGTGGAGATTAAACTCAGGTCAAGGTCAGGTTTGTGAGTTAAAGCACGAGTCCCCATAAAGGCTGTAAAACGAGGCGAGCGTCTTGTTACCCTTGTCATGGTTTGGATGAGAGCCAGGTGGGTTTTCTGCATCGTCATCAGAACTTTGTGTAACTTCTAACTGTTATCTTTTAAACATCAGGTTATGGTAACTTTACAACCGTTTGGGGGTGGGGGTGGGGGTAGAAATAGCTGAAATAAATATTGAGAATTCAACCTTTAGAAGGATAAGACTTTTGCAAAAACTATTTACCTTTTATTTTACACAACACAGCTACCACTCTGATGATGCAAAGTGCATTTTATTGTGAAATAAATAAAGAATAATAGAAAAGATAGCTATTTAACACCCTCTTWAAAAAAGTCAAAAACTTACCTCTCCACAAGCTCCACTCGTTCTTCGTCATCAAATGGCTCTTGGTCATTTTTAATTTTTTTTAACCGTTCTTTAACCAGGCAAGTCCCYTTCTCTTTTTCAAGGGAGGCCTGGGCCTGAAGGCAACCTATTGTACATGMTTTTAGGGGTGGGGGAAACRGGAGTACCCGGAGAAAACCCACGCAAGCACGAGGAYAACATGCAAACTCCGCACAGAAAGACCCCAGGTCCAAACCYYGGATCGAACCCAGGARCTTCTTGCTGTGGGGGGCGTTGGTGCTAACCACTGAGCCGTCGTGCTGCCATTTAAGTTGGACTGATGCAAATTTCAACAATATTTAAAACAAACCGGAGATTCTTTGTTACACTGATGTCTAGACTTTGTCTGGGGTGTTTAACCCTTTCTCCTTAAACCACTGGACTGTTGCTTCAGCAGTGAGAACCTTCATCCTAATCTCAAATCTCTAGAAACCCAAACAAGTTTCCCCACAAGAATTTCTCTATATATTGGGTCAAACATCTTTTCATTCAAACCTGTCCATCTTCCAAGTACTTGCTGATGAAAAACAACTCCACACCATGATGCTGCCACCTCCATGCTTCACTGTGGGGAAGGAGTTCTCAGTATGAAGGTTGTGACAAAACTTGACTAGTTCACTTCACAAGTGTCTTTTTTTAATCTTATTGTCCACAACTCATCTCACATGTTTGGATGGTCTCTGAAATGCCTTTTGACAAATTCTAAYAGGTTTGCCAAGATTTTTCAATTTAAGCGACCGTTCTTTTCTGATGCTTTTCTATGAAGGCAGTTCTGCAGGTTATAATTGTCTTGTGGACAAATACTTAAACTGAAAAACAATCACTGTTCTGTAACCTCTGGACAACTTTGTCTCTGACCTTGGTCTTCATGTTGCTGCAGCAGCTTTTATTATTTAAAGGGAGAATATCATGTAAAATCAACCTTTTTTTTAGATTTATATCATGTTATAATGTTATCCTCTCATCAAAAACATGCCCAGAGTCTTACTTTGACTCATTCATGCATGTTTGAGAAATGTGTCCTGAGGGAGCCAGACAGGGGAACAAAAACAACCGGTTGGCCCTAGAACCGCCTTTTGGGACCAGCTCCTCCTCTGGGCTGTGTCTCCAAGCTGAGCTTCCTCATCACAGAGCACACACTCACCTGGCCCCGTACTGAAATGGGTGGGACAGAAGCGGAAGGAGGTTCTTAAAGAGACAGAGGCCAATTTCAAGGCGTTTAGAAACAGATATAATGAGAAGTKAAATATATTTTCTATTCAAACATATAAAGAACATTTAAATAACAACTGAAGGTGACATAGAGACTTTATTATGGTATAGAATTTAAATGTATGCCTGAGAAACACATAATATCCCCCTTTAAATGTGTTAAATAGTTTTTGATTCGGAGGYTTGAAAATATTTGCACATGCCGGTTTCAAAGTTCAGAATTATTTATCAGACATCGTGCACCTCCACAAAGTGGTGGGATACCATCTACATACATCACTGGAAATGTAGCTTCAATGCTGCTTCAGTGCACCTTAAAAAAATACAATAACATTGACTTTCACGTCACGTTTTCTTGGCTTTCCTTCTCTTTACGTCATGCCTTTCCCAGGTTTCTTCAGACGAAGCATAACAAAGAACGCCGTGTACAAATGCAAGAGCGGTGGAAACTGTGAGATGGACATGTACATGCGCAGGAAATGCCAGGAGTGCCGGCTGAGAAAGTGCAAAGAGATGGGCATGCTGGCAGAGTGTGAGTATCTCTGCTGTCAGATGCGGTGATGAAACAATCAGTTATTAAAACCCTGCAGGGAAAGAGGAGATTACAGACATCTTGCATCTCACTGGCACCATCAACACATCACTGTCAGAAGGTAAACCCTCATTCTCCATTCTGACATGGCCCGTTTATTTAAACGGGCAGATTGTGTGTCACTTATGCCGTCCGACACAAAGGATCTCAGCTTTTGTTACTGTTCCTAGAATAGAAGCGGCCGAACACAAAGTTCAGTTCGTATCAAACCCACACCTTCAGCAGACACCAACTCTTTCTGCTGCAGGATTTTCTTTTTGTTTTAGATTTTYTCTGAACACTGCGCTCTGTTTCCTGACTTCTCAGAAGCTCGMTACGAGGTTTGTTGAGAGCTGACGGTACAAAAGAGCAGAAGGATCAACGAGACTCCTGTAGCTCATGAATAGTTCAGGGCAGCTGTTATCAATATTGCAGCATGGAAGGCTTTCACAATACGACCTGCTGCTGCAGCGAGAATTCAAGTTAGATTGAAAAAAACAGATCATTCAGGGTGACTACAGTACAGCAGGTTCTGAGAAAGTTGGGACGTTGTGCTAAATTAAAGAAATAAAATAAATACAAATAGAGAACGCAATGATTTGCAAWTATTACAAACCCACTGAACAAAGTAATTGTACTGTTTATTTTATTTTTTTTAAACAATAAGGTAATTTTGAAAATAAAAAGTTTAGGTTGAGGAGATTTTGAATTTTTTGCATTTGCTCTTTGTCTTTCACACAATGCCCCGACATGTCAGAATTTACGTTGTATTTTTCTAAATTTTGAAATGTTTTTACCCTGCTGAAAACGAGTTTGACAGAGATGTGACTGTGGGGGACGCAGTTCAGCTAGTCTGCTAATAACAAAGCTAACTTTTTGRTCAGTGGATTAGCATTTTTACTAACTTTTGAAACCATTTGCGGAACTAGCTTCTTCTGCTAACTTTAAGTTTGCAAACAAAAACAACTATCCCTTCACATAGTTAGGGGTGCTGCACCCCTGTGTCATGCGTCCTGTCTGAGTGTAGTATTTTCTAGCATTTTGTCTGCCTTCATCTTCAACTGGAAGGAGATGAAAACGTGTGGTGCCTTGGTCCTCTCAAATCCTTAAAATGTTGTCAGAAAAAGTGATTTTGGCCKGTGAAAAAGCTCAGATTTCAGATCACGAGRTTTCAGTTAGCYTTAGCTTCCACTTATTTTCTTAGCTGTTTAGTGGTTTAGGGTTGCATAGCTAATTTTGTGTTTAGTTAGCYATAGCAAAGCTAAATTTTTGGTCAATAGCTAAAATTTTCTGCACACAAACAAAGYCAAGATGTAGGGAACAGTTTGACTTTTGAAAACCAGCAGTGAATGTTAATTTTCACCACCCGAAGTGAAGCCTCCATCGGTGCCGACAGGCCTGCTGACAGAGATCCAGTGTAAATCCAAACGTCTGAGGAAAAACACAAAGGCCTCCCCCGGACGGTCGACGGGAGATGAGACAGAGGGACCGGACAGCGCAGACAACAAACAGGTCACCTCAACCACCAAACTGTCCAAGGTAAACATCTAATTACCTGTGACAAATCAGGCTCAGAAAACATCGTGATTTTGTTTTGATTTTAAACCCAGGAGAAGGTTGAAATCACCAAAGAGCAAGAGGCACTGATGAGGCTCATCGTAGACGCTTACAACAAACATCAAATCCCTCAAGACTTCACAAACAAACTGGTACATTTTTGATTTCCTACTCAATTATTGGCATGAGTGTCATTATTTGACAGGYGTAAAYTTTACTTGGTGCATCAACTTCCTTGAAATTTTCCTTGAAATCTGCTTTGCCTCCAGCTGCAGGAACAGTACAGCACCGAAGAAAACTTCCTACTGCTGACTGAAATCGCAACGAGCCAAGTTCAAGTGTTGGTGGAGTTCACAAAACATATTCCAGGTATCTTCGTGGTGACTCATCAACATCATCTTACCTGTTGTAGATAAGTCTTTGAACGCTCTTATTTTGGAAAACAGAGTTTAATTTGGACAAACTAATGATCACTCGTTTTCCCATCACTTGGTTATTCTGACAGAAATATAGAAARATTTATACAGGAAGTGCCCAAGGTTGTATAGGAAGTGCTACAGCTAGTTGCCGCTGCTATTAGCATTCACAAATGACCCTTTATGAGTAAAACATTTAATACAAAATGTACCATAATGTAAATGTTTAGAAAACACTATTCTGCTGAACCACTTTATTAGTGAGGTCATTCAAAGAGTTATCTTCAGCAGGTAAGATATTYACTGTGCATCCTTTCCACAGATTACCATTCCAAAAGATTTGATTAAGTGTATAGATTTSTTGCTGAGTTGACATTATTTGTTGTCAGGTTTTCTGTCTCTGGATCACGAGGATCAGATCGCTCTGCTGAAGGGTTCGGCTGTGGAGGCCATGTTTCTGCGCTCTGCTCAGGCTTTCAGGAGGAAGATTCCCGAAGGACACACTGAAGTTGTAGAAGCCCGAATACGCAAGAGTGGCGAGTGAATTTTAAAAAAGTACCTTTTTAAACCAGAAATAACCAGATGTAATGGAACAGTAGGTTCTCCTGCAGCTTCAGTTTAGCCAAACCTGCTCAGAACCTCGTTTAATATTTGAGTGAGACGAGTTCTGACCCACTGATCTCTGACTGGGTGTTGATTACACCTGCACACGGGTTCTGTTTCACTCTGTTCAGGTGTGTGTGTCTGCGCCTGCGTGTTGAAACATCAAATCGACCTCTTTTGATTAAGTTATTAAAACTGTCTTTTTGTCCACATAAATATCAACCACTGATTTGTTTATTACCTCACTCGCAAAGGCCAAATTATTTTAGCCTGTGCGTGTGTCTGTTAGCAAAATATCTCATGAACTACTGGACAGATTGTAATGAAACTCTCAAAGAATAATAAATAGTTGTACTTCTTCAACACTTTCATTTTTGCAGGTAACTCCATTCAAAATGACTACCACAGCTAAGCAAACATTAAAAACACTAAATTAGCTATAACTCAGCCAGTTTAATAGAAATAGAGCATAAATTAGACGTGTTAGTAGCTGAGTGTAAGTCACAACACATACTCTGAGCATAACACTCCTCACCACTTTTTTTTTGCTTAAAATTTGAGCATTAATTCTTGGCATCAACCCTGTTTGTCTGTTAGCAAAATATCTCATGAACCTGAGAGCAGATTTTAATGAAACTCGTAGAAAGTAATAATTCTATAAACAGCTACAACTGATTAAATTGTGAAATTAACTCAATTCAACATGGCTGCAGGAGCTAATCAACATTAGCAGCTCTAAAACTGGCTATAACGCAAAAATATTTTTCAATATTTAAGCTAAAACTTGGTGTGGTAATGGCTGAGAGTCGTACTCAACAGACACTGTAACACACCTTGCAAGAACTCACAGATTTCTAATACTGTTTGACAATAATATCATAATAAAATGATCTTAGTTTAAAAATCTGTCCTGCTAGTCAGCGGGTGATGTGCATTCCTTTAGGGAACACTGGGCCTTTAATTCAAGAATCATTTAAATGTATGCGAGTTGTCATTGTGTCAACCAGGTTGGACAGTTAGACAGACAGCAGAAGGGAGTGTGCGTCAGTGGGTCCCTGAGAGCTGCGCTGCACTGAATGGTGTGGAGAAAAGATATTCACACTAAAGGCCAATCTGGGGGGAAATGGAGGCTGAGCTGTCTGAAGAGGCCATTGTTTCTTATCAAAACATCAAGAGAGCCATTGTGCTCTCCTCTCCCTCTGAGACCCGCTGGCATTTCTGAAAGCTTCATGATGCGTCCAGGCAGACAGACACAATCAGTTTGACTAAAGAGCGTCAAAAGTTGGAGCTTTTCCMCCTCAATATCAACCAGGAAGTAACTGGAAATCATTACCCTCGCCTTGAATTATCAACTAAATAAAGAGAAATAGGAAAGATTAGTTTGGTTATGTTTTCTGGTGTTTCACACAGAGATAAACTAAAGCTGTCTTACTAGAGCAGAATTATTATTGCAARAATGCAGAGTTGAACATGACTTCTTCCTCTGCTTCCTGCATGTCTTTATTAAATATTGTGTCACTTTTAAAGCCACACAGACACATTTTGCAACAAAAAACATATATAGTTGATTTCAGGTAAATCTGTAGTTTATCGACAATTAAAAAAACCATACAAACCCATTTCAGGAAGAAAGGATACAAGTTACTGAAAATCACATTTAAAATCTTGTTGCTTTCAGTTAAATGTTTTATAAATCATACACAGTGTGTATTTWTCCATCTCTGAGATGTTGCCAATCCATAATGCCTTGTTGAATATTTCCTGTTTTTTGTTTCTGCAGGTATATCAGAAGAATTTATCACTCCTTTGTTTACCTTCTACAAAAGTGTTGGCGAGCTCCTCATGGTGCAGGAGGAACAGGCTCTGCTCACTGCCATAACAATCCTGTCACCAGGTGAACAGCTTTTACATTAGTTTTGGTATTTAAGGCGCATTCCTTGAGTTAATCTCTAAAATCCTTTGATTCCCCCTCAGACCGGCCCTACGTGAAGGACCAGCAGGCGGTTGAGAGGCTGCAGGAGCCCATGGTGGATGTTCTGAGGAAGCTGTGCGCTCTGCAGCATCCCCAGGATCCGCAGTACTTRGCTCGCCTCCTGGGCCGCCTGACGGAGCTGAGGACACTCAACCACTACCACGCGGAGATGCTCACGTCCTGGAAAGCCAACGACCAGAAATTCACGCCGCTGCTCTGTGAGATCTGGGACGTGCAGTGATCACAGGACGGAGGCTTGAGCTTCAGGAACACGGTGCGGCCCCGGCAGGAGAGCAGGTCTGATGAGGTGAAACTGCTGGCCCTGACCTTTATGGTAGAGGTTAAGAGCATATCTGTGCAGACGGTCAGCTTGTTTTCATCGTTCACACAGGTGGGATTTAATGAACTTGACAAATTGAGAGACACACTGGAGCTTTGTCGAAGCCGAGAAACTGGTTGTAAAAAGTTGTAAAAATTCAGAATTTGATCGTGTCTTCATTTTTATTTCATGTGCAAAATACATGTTTTATCCATCTGCCTCAAAAAATTCACAAAGTTTTGAGGGTAAATAAAAAAAGTCCCACTATTACAACATTTCTTACATATTTTTGAACAGTAAACAAAATCATCTTCTGATAAGAAATGTTGCAGTTGCAGCCATTTTGGTCAAACCTTGTAAATCAGGGCTATTCAACTGAATTGCTCTGAGGGCCACAGTTAATGCAAGCTAACAGCACAGGGGCTGAACATCCAGCAATTAAAGTCATTATGTAAATAAACCAAGTATTACTCTATGTAACCCTATGCAATAAAAGTAGTGATAACAAAACAATATAAAAAATAACATGTTATGTCTCCTGTTTAACACAAATATTATTTTAACATCTCTGACTTGCCAATTTTTTAAACCAATTTCATTTTCACTTTCATAGTTTTATCTTCAACTGCTTGTAGTTTTAACTGTCTTGGGTGTTCATTGAAATGGTTTATACCAGCTTCTAGCCAAMATTCTGACATTTCTGTAGATACCACACATAACTTATAGTAATTAAAGTAAAAAAAACAGGTTTGGGCTTAAGAGATGAATGAACGAATTGGCGGGCCGAACTCTGGTCACTTGTGAGCTGGATGTGGCCCGCGGGCCGCCAGTTGAATAGCCCTGTTATAAATAACATTACGCACTGTCTTGTGTTAGTTCTCAGTTTAAATGTTGAGGATGACTCTCAGCTACTACCAAACCAAGTTTTTGCTTAAAATCTGTAAAAATGAACAGAGTTAGAGGGGATTTGTTGGGCTACGTTAATGCAGCGGCGGCCATCTTGAACTGGAGTCTAATCAGCTGCAGACATTAAGACCTTTATTACTTCCTGAGAGGTTCTGTAAAATCCATTCAGTTATTCAAGAGATATTTTGCTAAAACTCAGTTGCAGCTGACAAACAGTGAATGGCAAAGTTTTGAAAACAGATCTTGCATGATCACTGAAAGCTCATAGTACGTGTTCAGAATCACTCTCGGCTACTACCYCACAAAGTTTMAGCTCAGTTTCTGTTTATTCAGCTGAGGTTTAACCATTTTTGTGTTTAAGTTGCTTAGCTGTGGCYGCCATCTTGAACAGAGATGACTCCAAATCTTAGTTAGACATGTGCAGTGGTTCATGAGATGTTTTGCTAACTGAACACAGGCAAAAACATGATCGCCCCTTTAGGAGCGGTGATATTTAACAAATATGAAAATGAGAATCTGTTGAGTTTGTGCAGCCCTTCTTGTCTCATTTATAAATGCAGTGAAACCTCTGAAAACAAAAAAGCACTTTGATCAAAAGATGTATTTTTTTCACATTTTAACTAATTTTCTGAATGCTAATAAAGGATATTTAAATAAGCTGTAACTGCATCATTGCTTTGTGCAGTAAGTGTCAGTAAAAATCAGGAAAATAAACATATTCTTTCCTTTAATTTTTAATTGTGTGTTAATTTTAGCATTAAGGCTGCAAAGAAAAAGAGCTTAATCTCAATAAATTTATTTGGTTTTTCATTACAGTAAATAAAATATTAAAACATCCAGCTACTGTATTAAAATGATTTAATAAACATGACACTCATTTAAGACTGATTTATAGAGGAATGAGGTTTGAATYAGATTTACATCATTTACAACTATTTTTAATATTTAAGAATAAAAAAACCTACATATAAAAACTGAAAGGCACAATTTTTAAAATAAGATGTATTTGTAGTACTTGTATTTACGAGGACCATTAATGGCCATGACTGTGTCGGAGCACCATCTTGTGGATTAATCGGGCATCAAAGTTAATCCTGATGTGAGATTATTTAAACAAAGCACAGATCTACATCCTGCTGCTCTTTACAGACAGGATTAGAGATGARGTCCTCTATAGGTGGGTGTTTGGTGCTGCTCCTGCTCCTGGATAAACCAGGAAGCCTGAGAAGGTGGTGTACCTGCCCTGGTTGCTGTAGACGGCGTAGCGCTCGTCCTGCTGGCTGTACAGCCACACCCTGTCGCCTCCGATGAGCGGCAGCATCAGGCTCTGGCTCTGCATCTCCCGCCTCTTCGACGTGTCCTCGTCGAACACCATGGCCTGCACCTGGCCGCCCCCGGTCATCAGCTTCACGGAGAGGGCCTTCCGGGGGTGCTTCCCCACCGTGAAGGCGAAGAAGTACACGCCGGGGAAGCGGCACGTGAACAGGCCGGTGGTTTTGTTGAAGTGGGACCCGATGTTGACGTACTCCACGTCAAAMGTCAGTGGTGGCTGGTCCTGGTTCCTGCCGCTCTGACCCAGGAAGGTGGACGTCCGTGCCACGGAGAAGGCCGACTGCGGCTGCTCTGTCTGAGGCGGGCAGTAGGGGTGGGACAGTGCRGGAGGGGAGAGGTGGTTGCTGATGTAACTGGTTGGTTGGGCCTCAGGGTAAACCAGGTAACCAGAGAAGGTGATGTAAGGGCCGGTGTTACTGTACAAAGCATACTTAGGGTTCTGCTGGATGAGCAGCCACACTGTGTCCATTTCCTTCAAACTGATCAACACACTTTGGCTCTGAACCTTCCTCCCTATCCTGCGGTAGTCATCGTAAGCCATGGCCTGGACCTCCTCCCCGTTCTTCACCAGAATCACAGACAGCAGCTTTTTAGGGAACTTCCCCACGGAGAAGGAGAAATAATACGCTCCGGGGACACGGCAGCGGAAGTGGCCGCTGTCTGGGTTGAAGTCCCGCCCGATGTTGACCATGAGCTTGTTGAAGGTCACTGCTCTCTGCTGGCCCCCCACCACGCTGCTGGTCCGAGTGGCAGAGAAGGCAGAGCGGGAACTCAACGTTCCCAAAGGGAACTGAAGGGACCAAACCGTTCCAGGGGAGAGGACCGTGACAAGTAACCAGCATGGCAAGAGTACGTGTGAACTCCAGTAGGCTGAATTCATGAGAGACAGAAAATTAATAAGATGATGTTTAAACAGATTGTATTTAAAAACACAGCATTCCTTGAAGAACTAACCTTCGCCTGCTGCAGAGTTTTACACTAAACACATCTGAAGTTGAGAAATTCTGAAGTTGTATTTTGGTCAAACTTTTCTTTTTTATATATATATATAATTAAGTTGTGTTTATTATACACACTCTGAACATGTTARATAATGCACAATGCTGCCTCGCTGTGAGGCACCTATGCTAACCACTGAGCTATCATGCTGCCAAACTATAACCCGTTTAATGTGAACAAATGTGTAAAAAAAAAAACAATAGTCAACTACAACAGCCTCTTTTCTGTGCATCTCAATCCAAAGAGCAGATGTTGATATTGCCCTTAAAAAAGAAGAAAGTTGCTTCTTCTGTTTCTGCAAAAATCTGCAGCATTGATTCTTTTATTTTTTGACTGAAGATAAATTTGTCAGAATGAGGCTCAGGGTCTTACAAAACCAGTCTAAAGSAAAATATTCTTGATCTTAAAGACAAAAACAATTAGCCGAAACCTTCAAAATGAGTGAAAAACTTTTACTAGAATGACTTATGGGAACTCTCTCGTGTGAGTCATGGAAGAGCTGACAGGCTGCTCCTGTAACGGGCCTGATGACTGCATTAGCTGCTGGTTCATCTGCTCCTCTGTCAGATTAACAATGGAAAAGTTCAAAGGGTTTCTGAGGTGGGGCCGGACAAGACCGGTCGCCGAAAACCACAACCCAAATACATCCTGGAGTCACTGCTTTGAAGTCAGGATGAGATGAAGAAAAAAATCTATTATTTCAGTTAGATATCTGCGGAAATGTGATAAAAATTTGTTTACCCTCATTTTACTTTTAAAAGGAGRACAACATAATCAAACTAACACAAAATAAAGTGAGTATTTATTAAAACCACTATCAAATTCCCAACATTTAGGAGTATTTTTACTATCTAAAAATAAAAAGGGAGAACTTTGCAGATTCCAGTACTTAAACTAAATGAAAAAGATAACTGCAATTGATGCAGGAAGTAAAAAGTTGCAAAATCATGTACTGAGCCATGAGGTTTGCACTATAATCTGAATATTGTACAGAAACCTGACAATAAAGGTTCATTCGGGTAAAAATCAAGGCAAAGATGCATGGGGAAGAGTGGTGTTACAGGAGTCTGATGTCTTTCATTCAAAGCTATTTTAATAAACCAATATTTTAACCCTAAAGTTTCATTCATATAACAGACCTACATATACGCCTGCACTGTAAAATAAACTTTTCCCACAATTTTATAGTCCACAGATTAACAATAAAACCACAAAACAGCATGAGATGTGCATCTAAAACTCTAAAAGCAGCAAACAGATGAGCATTTTAAAYCGTATACACCAGTGACAACATGTTGAACCCACCTGTTGAGCTCAGTTGGGTCAGAAACTGCATGCTGGACTTTTTGTCTGCTCAGATCTTAAATGAAGTCCCTGTGGGTTTGCAGCACCGTGAAAGTCATCGGCAGCCAGTGGAACAAAAACTGTTGTCCATTCAGACATGATGAGAGGAGGAGGAGCTCCGAGGCTTTTCCTCCAATCTACAGCTGCTTTTCAACCTGTAGATATGAAACAAGGAGGAAAAACCACAGCTGGACTGAGCGGACCTGTTGACATTCATGGAGTTTGGTCTAACTCCTGCTTGTTTTGTCTCAAACAGGTGAAAGAGATCTGACGATTCAACAAAGTGCCTGTAAAAAATTAATGGAAATGACTTGAAGCAGTCCAGTTTCCACATTAGAAATTTTAAAATTACACTCCTAGATGTGGCTTATGAAAGGGATAATTTGCAGGAGATTTARATCAATTCTTAACTTTAATGAAAATTTTCACTATACTGAATWTAAATACCATTTGTCACAGCAACTATTCACAAGTTGTTCACAATTTTCGTTGAATTGAAAAATGTAACACAATTTGATGGYCACAAAATAGTATTTTAGCACCAAAAAATGCTGTTTCCAAAYAACTATTGAAAATCTGCCTTTTTTTAAAATCAGCAAATAGTTGACACATCCCTCAGCACCTGTTCATCGGATGTAGATCAGTTTTACGTCTGGTGCTTTTTATTTTATTCTCCATTCATCTATGGCCGTGATCAGAAACTGGGCTGAAAATTTGTAAATAAAGCAGATAATAATAATAATAATAATAATAATAATAAATTCAAAGTATTTCAAGAAAACTTGGAGATACGTATGTTAAGGCCACTATAAAATATCACAAGAAGGTTTGTATCCATTGGTACCACAACACATATAAAAAAAACACATTTCATGTGTATCCATGATATGGGTTTTACTTGTAATTCTGTAAAATTGATGGTAAAGTTTTATGAAAATACACAATGATAAACCAGAGAAAATGGGAATATGTCATAAAAATGTTGTAGTCTGCCTAAGTTTGGTTATAAAGCATTAAAACATGTCTGAAATGATGAGGAAATCCTTCATGTAAATATTTTCTGCATAACATTTTAAATACATTTTTTACTTCACTTTTTTARTTTTTGTTTTAATTCACATTTTCTCATTAAACATTTTTTGCTTCCTTATTTTACTGCTGTTGAATCTTTTGCTGACATTGTATAACGACATTATTAGTCTATTTATTTCAAGAACAAAGCATTTAGATAAAATAAAGAATAAATAGTTATGTCTCTGCTGTGAGCACGCGGTGATGACGCAGAGAAGCCGGAAGTCGTGTGTCTGCTGTCAATGCCAACGACAGAGAGAAGCCGCCGAGAGCTAAAACCCCTCATTTAAAGACAAAATGGCAGGACTGCCCCGCAGGATCATCAAGGTGCGTGTTTATAATTAATAACAGAAGCGCGGCTGTTCTGCAGAGATGAAAATAAATGCATTCACACTTTAAGCTTCCCCCCCAGCTCTGGCCGGTGAGCAGTTTTGTGTGCTAATGTTAGCATTCAGCTGCTAACAGTTTGATAAAGTAACTTCCGCTTATATTTTAGGTGCAGATACTTCGAGACACAGGGTTAATTTAGAAGCACTGCAGCGGCAGCAAAAAAATAATGCGAATATAAGTGTTGTGTGTCTAGTTATTTATATATATATATTCCCAAAATTTATTTTTAGCATCTTTACCATGTGCAGGTTTGGTGCTGGACATCCCGGTTAGCTAACTGCTAACCTGTCTGACGCCACCCTGGGAACTCCAGACATAGTTTTACTGCACATGAACTTTAATATAAAAATGTCTCCTGCCGTTCTTGATTTGTAGAGAACATTTTTCATTCATTTTATGGTAATTGTATTGCGTTTAATAATCTTACTGAGCGCTTAGGCCAAATTATGAATCAGCTTCAATTCAATTAAACTTTATTTGTAAAGCATTTTTACAAACACAAGTGAAGCTCAAGGTGCTGAGTAAAGCAGGACATGGCATAAAAATAAATAGGCATTGAAAAAATATTTGAATTTATTCGAAAGGCTTTTAAAATACCACATACAAAATGAATAAGGGGATGGTAAAATAAGCTAATACACAAAATGTGAGTAAGTAGGAATGTAAATGTCATGAATAAATAAAACTAAATAGACAAGTAAGAAAACATTAAACAGATATACATTGGCAATTGAGTAAAATTGAGCATCATTAACCTATTGTGGAGGGGGCAGAACATGCATCAAACAACTGGCAACCTTGACTGATCCTCAGCAAGATTGGTGAGGACATGGAAAAGGAGCTTTGTCCAGCTATGGATGTCAGCTGTTCATTGACGAGGGGGACGCCCCCTTTTTGCAAGTTCCTTCAGCTGAAAGGGTCACGTTTGACAGTTACCGTGGCCCCTCACTACACGGCCAAATCCCTTCAATTTCGTCTTGATGTGCATTACGAAAGAGTCATGATCTCCAATGAGGAAACKGACTCTGCGGTGGATCTCAGCATTTGTAGTGTGGGAGGAACAGTGACCCTGAAGCAGATGTTTGTAGCAGGACAGTTAAAATGTGCATATTATTTTAAGTAGGGCTGCATGATATTAGGAAAACCTGCAATGTGTGATAACAGTGCTTAATTTTGCGATGACGATATGGCTTTCGATAAATGAACAAATACACATGTAGTGTTGATGTCTTTCTGCTCTGGGTTCAGAGCAAAAAAAAACTAATCATTTTCATTTCAGCATGAATTTTTTTCAAAATATGAAGAGATCCATCCAAATGGCCAAATACACAAAGGGCTCCATTTGATTGGTAAAACACTTCAAGCTTCTCTTTGAGTGACAAAATACATAATTGCAAACATCTGAATCTACCATTTATTGCAGTTTTTTGCAGTATGCATAATGCACAGGCTGTTATCACAATGATGATAAATTTACGCTATATTGTGCAGCCCATTTTATAAGTCCAGGTTCCTGCAGCATAGAGAAGGACTGACAAAACAAGTGGATGTAGGGAAAAGGGATATCTACAGGGTGAGATGCATGTGCAGTAGGTACGGCAAATACATGRGCCTCTTTTTACCTGAGGAGCAAAGAAATTGCCAGTCGAGTAGTTTGTGATTTACTCGTTTAAAATGAAATGTAAAAATGGTCCAAAACTTATGATAAATAAACATTGCCTGTAGAATAATCCATAATGACAATAATTTACCCCCAGAATAACTAAAAACCTATAACTTGTACTCACTGTGTGTATAGTGCGTTATAATCAGTGTGTCTCGCAGCTGTCAGACACTCACTGTGTATACTATTGGTAGTATACACTCACCGGCCACTTTATTAGGTACACCACGCTAGTAACYGGTTGGACRCCCTTTTGCCTTCAGAACTGCCTCAYTTCTTCYTGGCATAGATTCAACAAGGTGCTGGAAGCATTCCTCAGAGATTTTGGTCCATATTGACATGATGGCATCACACAGTTGCCGCAGATTTGTCGGCTGCACATCCATGATGCGAATCTCCCGTTCCACCACATCCCAAAGATGCTCTATTGGATTGAGATCTGGTGACTGTGGAGGCCATTTGAGTACAGTGAACTCATTGTCATGTTCAAGAAACCAGTCTGAGATGATTCCAGCTTTATGACATGGTGCATTATCCTGCTGAAAGTAGCCATCAGATGTTGGGTACATTGTGGTCATAAAGGGATGGACATGGTCAGCAACAATACTCAGGTAGGCTGTGGCGTTGCAACGATGKTCAATTGGTACCAAGGGGCCCAAAGAGTGCCAAGAAAAGATTCCCCACACCATGACACCACCACCACCAGCCTGAACCGTTGATACAAGGCAGAATGGATCCATGCTTTCATGTTGTTGACGCCAAATTCTGACCCTACCCTGACCCGAATGTCGCAGCAGAAATCGAGACTCATCAGACCAGGCAACGTTTTTCCAATCTTCTCTTGTCCAATTTCGATGAGCTTGTGCAAATTGTAGCCTCAGTTTCCTGTTCTTAGCTGAAAGGHGTGGCACCCGGTGTGGTCTTCTGCTGCTGAAGCCAATCTGCCTCAAAGTTCGACGTACTGTGTGTTCAGAGATGCTCTTCTGCCTACCTTGGTTGTAACGGGTGGTTAGTTGAGTCACTGTTGCCTTTCTATCAGCTCGAACCAGTCTGCCCATTCTCCTCTGACCTCTGGCATCAACAAGGCATTTCCGCCCACAGGACTGCCGCTCACTGGATGTTTTTTCTTTTTCGGACCATTCTCTGTAAACCCTAGAGATGGTTGTGCGTGAAAATCCCAGTAGATCAGCAGTTTCTGAAATACTCAGACCAGCCCTTCTGGCACCAACAACCATGCCACGTTCAAAGGCACTCAAATCACCTTTCTTCCCCAWACTGATGCTCGGTTTGAACTGCAGGAGATTGTCTTGACCATGTCTACATGCCTAAATGCACTGAGTTGCCGCCATYRGATTGGCTGATTAGAAATTAAYTGTTAACGAGCAGTTGGACAGGTGTACCTAATAAAGTGGCCGGTGAGTGTACACTTGCTGTGTGTGTTGTGCTGCAATGTGAACTTCCAGTGTAAAAATTTTCTTCTGGATGTAGGAGTCTAACTTACAATAATCTGTACTTCTGAACAAGTTTGAGTTTTGCTAGAACACTGGCAGCTTTGGCTATTCTTGTCTTCACCTCTAAACTGATCATAAGAATCTATAAAATACTAAGTTGTTTCAAAGAGGCGAGTTTTAGGCTTTGCTTTAAAAGCAGGGAGTGTGTCTGTGTCACAAATCCAGAAAAGAAAGTTGATTCAGAAAATAATTAGCTCTGCCTCCTGCAGTTCTACAGATTCCTGAAACAAACAAGTAAAACTACATCCTGAAAGTGGAGAAAGCATAGACTATTTGGACACATAGCTGAAACACTGTTGCAGTAATGAAGGRTGCAAACTACAGAAGCACAACACAAGTTTGTGTCTGACACTTTGTTTTAAGATGCTCCTGATTTTTTTTTTTTTTTAAGGTTTCGACTGACACCATAAATGTGTTTTAGCACAGATGTCTTGCTGCATTTTCCCAACGTTAGTTATCCAACTTCAATAGGGTTGTTAGGGGATGGCTGAATGTACTGAAACTATTTAATTTAAATTTGCTACTGGCATTTGGCACAAGTCACTCCTTTTTCCTCTTTTAAAAGAAGTTGACACATTTTGACGTGTGTGATGTRCTGCCAACTAGCAGCTTTGAACCAGAACTGTTTTGCTCGGAGGAAACTGTTCTAATTACTTTGGTTTTCGTTAGAGTGTATCATTTTTTATTTATTATTTATGTGTTATGCACACACAATTTATTCGTTTTTTTTTTTGTGTATTTTTCAGTTTTCTTTAAGTAAAATGATTTCTACAAAGATTGGTCATAAAGGTCTCACAGGTGCGTCAGGAAGCAGATACACAGCTTGGAGTTGGTGGGAAAAGGTGGTCCGGGCTGGGAACAGTACTTAGTGGGCCGAGCTGTTGAGCCCTCGGAGCGTGAGACTGGGACTGGGAGCCCCTCTCCTGTCTGTGTTTTCACTGCACGGTTTTGTCTGTGGGTTATCTGAAACATTTCAGGAATCTCACTCCTAGTTAGATGAAGGAAAAAGGGTGACAAAAACACAACTCAGGGTTTATTCGTCCAATTTATTGTTAATATTCTCATTTTGGATAAAATATCAAACTGCCACAATCATATCATATAATAAACGTTTGGGTGTTTATGAGCACTACTGATAAACAATGGATTTTGAAAGTTTAACAAAATATTTAAGTGAATTTGTAATTTTCTAGTTTCCGTTTTATTTTTCATGCAGAACGTTGAACAACATCCTACTTTTAATTTACACCAACATGTTGAAATCTGAATGATTAACTTTAAAAACAAAGCAATTAGTGTCACCACAGTGGTGTCGAATGTTTATTGTTTTAGTGGTTTGAAAAAAAGTATTGTGAGGAATGCAGATTTGTTGGTTTGACAGTGTGGGATGCTGCTCTGTGCTGTAAATGCTGAAAACAAAATCGTTTTCAGCTTTGCTGACTAGTTCTGTGTGTCACCTCTTTAATTCTCTGCTTGAGAACAATTGAGTATCCACTGAACTGCAAAAGGTGTCCAAATTATCAAGGTTTTGCACTTTAATTCTTGTTTGAGCCTTTATGTCAGGAGTTTAAAAGACAAATTAATTAATTCCACTGTAAGTAAATTTAATAATCTAAATTAACAATAGGTGTGATCATTAGTGGTTGGTTAATTGGTCTCTGTTGGACCCTTTAAAARAGTGAAAATGGAAAATTAATTGATTCTCAAATCTGAATATCTCTTCACTAACTGTTCCTCCTGTCAGGATCTTACTAAGTAAATCATTTGTCTTTCTTTTCATCAGGAAACTCAGCGTCTGCTCGCAGAGCCAGTTCCTGGCATCAAAGCCGAGCCAGATGAGGGCAACGCCCGCTACTTTCACGTCGTCATCGCTGGACCTCAAGACTCGCCTTTCGAGGGAGGCACGTTTAAACTTGAACTCTTTTTACCCGAGGAATATCCCATGGCAGCTCCTAAAGTACGMTTTATGACCAAAATATATCATCCCAATGTGGACAAGCTGGGAAGAATATGTCTGGACATTTTGAAAGGTAGGCCAGGGTCTTTCTCTTTCTCTCAAATGCAAGAAAGCACTTTTTGTTTCCCTTTAAAAGACACAGTTCTTTTCCCCTTATCCTAAGTCTAACTGAAAGGCAGTGTTAATTTTAACATGATATACTGAGAGAGTTTATTCWTTTTCTTCTTCAATCAATCAACTTTTCAGATAAGTGGTCACCAGCTCTGCAGATTCGTACAGTGCTCCTATCCATCCAGGCTTTACTAAGTGCACCCAATCCTGACGACCCTCTAGCAAATGATGTTGCAGAGAAGTGGAAATCCAACGAAGCTGAAGCCATAGAAACGGGTGAGAGTTTRCATCTTAAATCTGAAAAACTGTATGTAKATATAATTTTCCTCCACACCAATCAGCATACCTGCAGCCTTTTAATTGTATATTACATATCCAGCATGCTATTTTTCCATTTACTATGAGGAGAAGCTCCAAAGTGTTCAAAGGGTTTTATTGTCTATGAATGGAAACTCTGTRACAAAATGAGCTTTATTTTTGTGGAACTATAAACAAACTAGGAAAAAAACTTCTGCTTTCCACCTTTTGTGCACCGGTTTGTGGTTTTTCATGGTGTTTAAAGCTCACCGATAATAAAACCACCACTGTTTCAGCATTAARGGATAATTAACTGATGTTTTGAAATAAAAAATGTCTCAAATCTGCAGAGATTTTTGACAATTTGAGTCTTGAAAGGTGTGGAATTTCAAAATAAAAGTTGTAAAAACCCTGTCTTAGGAATGACTTCCTGTTGGGTTGTTTAAATAAAACTAAATTTGTGGTATTAATTAGCACTTTTTATTATTTTCTTGCCTACTCAGCCAAGACATGGACCAGGCTTTACGCTGGGAACAAAAATGAAGTTTAAAGCAGCCCAACATGCGGGGGATGCAAGTGAAAGTGGAGTGCGTGAACACCACTCATGTGCTGCCAAGACCTCCTTCAGCTTCATTTGCATTTAAAGGACACAGTCTTTTATTTTTTATATAAATATATATGTATATGAAACCAACTGCTGATATTTGGTGATCTCAAGGCACACTAGTACTGAATGACTCGTCTTTGTCTTAACTCACTACTATTCAAATGCATGGGCAAAGGTGTTAGATCTCACCTGGTTTTCTTTTTGTCCAATAGGTTGGTAAAAAGGGGTGTGTCTTAAGCCCCATACATATGGGGGAATGTGGTTTTGAGGGCATGCGGCGCAGCAGACTAAGTGGGAATGAGAGAGTGGCTAGTTGTGAAATATAATATACTGATGTTTCTTTTTTTTAAACTTTGTTTTATTGTGTTGCAGTTTGTTTAGTTAAAGCAACTAACTACCACTAGCCCACTGTATATCCACTCACCCAGAGGGTTTTATCTTGTGTACATCTCCCAGCAGGGGAAAAAAAAACAATCATTGCTAATATCTGGAGTCATTAAATGCAAAACATTAAGACTAAAAAAGAAACAAACTGAGCCTGATGATGTTACTGTTTGAATTAAGACCTGTATGTAACCCCCTCTCTTAGCGGTGAAAGTGTTTTAGGTGGCGGACATTGTGGACCTTTCCTTTTCATACATGCAATGTGTCCAATTATAGKATCCAGATTTTATATGTGAATTTACTTTGCTCCTGCTGTACTAACTATACCTGCTTCTTCTTCCTCGATGCCATCCGAGTCTCCCAGACTCTMGTTTACCTGCTCCTAATGGTGCGGGTACATCTGAGCCATCAGTTGGTGCTGGGATGAGTTTAGTGGGGCTGGTGTTGAGGGGAMAACTGGGTTATCGGGGATCAAACTTCAGTGGATCAGTTAAAGGCTTCCACTTGGTCTTCATTCAATTCACTGTAAATTTGTTGTAAAGGAAGGAGATTAATTTCCTGCTCAGAATGCTATGAAACTGCTCACCTGCYTATGTTCTGTAAATAAATTCAGTTGATTAATAATTAGTTAAGTGTGTTGATTCTTTGTGATTTGTGGACAAGTGTGCTAAACAAGTACAAGTGCTTTAATTGCAAGCCTATAAAAGCCTATGAGGGCTGTGACTATAATTTTGACTGTTTTTACGTTTGTAAAATGTACAATTTTGTGTGCAAACACTGTTCTTCACCACTAGAGTGAGTCCCTGAGCTTTAGATCCACCGTTTGAACAGTTTATTTTATGCCCTTGATCACACCGGCCTCTAGTGGTGAAACCTAATACTACACTTTAATAAATCAAAAAGAAAACACTAGAAAAGATAAAATACTGTATAAACAAAATGTGACAGTTACAGCTCCTTTTGCTTTTTCCTGGTAAATAAAACTGTTATTAATTAAGCTCTGGTTCTCTGGATGAAGTAGTGGAGTGACGAAGTTTATATCTATAATTATTTTCTGTTGTTCAGTTTGGCAATATCCTTACTAATTCTTACTGCAATTTTCACTTTTAACATTCCCATTCATCCAAGGAAGACATTTTGAGAGCCGTTATTTCTTTACCCAAATCTAGACTCTCCCAARAAAACAATTTATTTTCAAGAAGATTGTTGTTAAATTTCCAAATAATATTTGAACTGATTTCAGATCTACATCATTTTATGGAGAAAAAAAATCACAATGATCAGTTAGAGATGACACTGAAATTATAGYCCTACATTTAGAAATATTTTGAATTAAATTGTTAGAGACTGAACAAAAATCTAGTCTTGATTTCAGARTGTTAGCAGAACTGGATTGTGRTGGAATTTTTTCAAGACCAGCWGTCAGTCAAGTTTAAATTTGATTTCAGATTGCAGCTATGAGGAAACRGATCAAGCCAGAGGTCTGGAATGAGGTTAAAATCACCCCCATTATGTCTTTGTTGAATAAGTATTTTCCGTCTTTCAAACAGCATTTGAAGGGATTTAAACAGATTTATATACTTTTTGGTTGAAACCATATATATACCAAAATATAGTTCTCGTTAATAAATTCTACTATTAGGCTACCATTAGCCAATGACCAGTCATTAATGTGGTTAATAGCTAATATTACCTGGAAWCCTATTAAACACAATCGTAACACCTGCAGAGTGTGATGTTGAAGAAGACGAGATTCAACTGAGTGTTTCCGGCAAGAAAATACAGTTTTTTTTCTCCCCTTTGCTTTTAACATAAATTAGGCCTACTTGGCTTCACTGACCTGACCTCAAACTGCATATTCACAAATGCTGTTACACTAATCAAAAGCCTCTTCTCTCCATTTTTGTAAATGATGTCAAACAATAAAACCATCAGACATTGCATAAATGTGAAAGCCATTAAAACGTGTGCTTTTTTGTGCAACATGTCATTCCAAACTATAGTCTCAATGCTTGTAACCCCCTGGCGACTGTTATATTGTATTGTTTTTACATTGTTTTGCATTTTTTTAACAAAAAAATAAAAAACCTATGGTCAGACAGCTGTCAACATAGAAATGAARACGCGTTGAAGTGGTGCTGATCTTCTGTATGTTGGTTGTGGACCTGCGGGTAAAAGTGGGAGGCTACTTTCTCAGGTCAGCTGGTGCAGCAGCGCCGAGATGTGACCGAATTTGTRCGACTCCGGTCGAGGACTGCCGCTGACAGTTAACCCTCCACGATGGGAACAGCTCGACCACCAGAGGTTTGAATATTGAATGACTCCCGGTGTTTCCGGCGCAGAAATGAATGAATGAATGAACCGACAGCACGGGTTCATCTGGGACAATAATTTTAGGAGAGACGCTCGAAGCATTTTCTCCACGTTTTCCTCTGTTTTCCTGCCACTCGAGAGCATTTATGATGAACTATAAGCCCAACCAGACCAGGACGTACGACGGGGAAGGATTCAAGAGAAGAGCAGCGTGTTTGTGTTTCAGAAKCGACACGGAGGACGAGGTGAGTAGCTGAAGTTTGGGATTTTACTCAAGTTTTTTTGTTAAACCTGCTTTAAATTTGACAGCAGCCTCAGCGCTCTTGACACAGACTGCGTTGCGTTCACGTGTCTGCGTTCAATTCAGTTCAATTCAAAAAATTTATTCATTTCATTAAAAAATACTATATACAATAATAAAAATAAACAAAAAAATATACAAATCAAAACAAAATGAAAGGTAGCAGAAGAAGAATAAATCTTATCTTGTCTGCCCCTTTTCGACCCAGAATGTAGCTATTCAAAAGAAACATAATTTACAAAACTATACTAAATAACATAAAAATTAAAACAACAACAACATAAAAACATCAACTCAACAAATCAAATAGCTTCACATTTTACTTTTCATATTTCTAAAAAAAAAAACTCGCTTTTATCTGTCTCCTAAATATATACATTGATCTAGCAATTTTAAGATCATCTTCCAGACCATTCCATAACCCTATACCTTGGATTAAAGTACATCTTTCTTTCAAGCAATTCTTTAATTGATGTTGAGCTGGCTCCAGATCTGACCCAGGAAGTCTGAGCTGCAGAACAGCAATTCCAAGAAATCCACACAGCTCTTATTTTTTAATAAAAAAAGTGCCGTGAAATGAAAATCTTGTCGATCTTCTGCAACGTCAATCAGTACATTCCTCTAGTGACTCTTCCTTGTTGTCATTCATTAGTTTAGATAATTAATGTCTGGGGATACTGGCAATTTAACAGTTTTATTTATTTGACAAACACGGGGCCTTGATAGCAAGTGGATGAACCATACACAGCCACAAGAGGCGGTACCTGTGGTATTCAATTTTTTCAACCAACGTTTGTGAGTCAGTCCGTGTGGTTGTGTTGGTCACTGGAACAAACCGCACATCCAGGCTGATCCAACATGTGTTCAATCAAGCACCTTGGGGTACCAGAAAAACGGATCCAGAACTGCACGGCATTCTGGGTGATGTAGGCAGAGGAAAGGCTTTAGCTACTTGACCTCTCATGGCCCAGCAAAGCAAGGTTGGTGGCATCAACTAACTCACTAACTGCTTGAAAATACAAAAGAATGACATGGAGTGAAAGGGGAAAATGAGTGCAACAGCTCGGTAGGAATGTATATAATATAATAT